AAGGCATTGCATGATACAAAATGAAGGACATATTGTAGGCTACAAGCAAGATACGACTCTTTGCCTTAGGATCATTGCTTGTACTTTGTCTTCAACATTTTCTTTCTCCTCTTATTCGCTCAAGTGATAGAGCCCGTTTTCGTTTGATTTAGTTGGGCAAGGTGAAAATTACAAGCTTTGAGATTCCACGTCAGTTGAATAAAAGGAATGAAACATTCCTCATAAGGGTATGGAAACCTTTCTTTAGTAGACATGTTTTAAAAATTGTGAGGTTGATGGTGATATGTAATGAGTCAAAGTGGACAATATTTGCTATGGTGAGTTTGGGTTGTTACAAATGATACTAGAGTCAGTCATCGAACGGTGCGAGACGTTGGTTGGAGTAGTGCTAATAATATTTGATAGCTGTGGGTTTTGGCTGTTACAAATGGTACTAGAGTCGGTCACAGAACGGTGTGAGGCATTAGGAGTAGAGCTAACAATATCTGATAGCGGTGGGTTTTGGCTATTACAAATGATACCAGTGTCAGTCCCCAAACGTGCGAGACAGTGATTGGAGTAGGGCTAACAATATTTGTTAGTAGTCGTCTTAGACTTGTTACAAATAGTACTAGAGTCACTCATTGGACAGTACGAGACACTAGTCAGAATAGGGCTAGACCCTCTCCATAGTAGATGCGTTTTAAAATTGATACCTAACGGACCAAAGACAATCCACCATTACATGGGCATTTCGAATCTTGAGAGGATAAAGGCGATAGATCATAACTAGAGCAAGTTATTTCGAAGGTAGAACTTCCAATTATGGACCTACCTCACCTCTCTATGTGGGCTCTCTTTTGGGCCACAACCCAATACTCTTGATCGTTGAGCCCAAATAGTAATTGATTCCAGCCCAAATTCAATAAGGCTTGGATGCTACAAGAGCTCACAAGCCTTAATAAGTCCTTCAATAATGGAGCATATATCTTCACTTCATTATTATTATTCTTTTGAATCAATCACCTAGTAATTAGTAAATAACTCTTACCTAATTCGTGTATATATATTTCCAATGCAACCCCTCATCGTGCTTCGGCCTCCCAATCCGAGAGGGACGTGACGCGAGATGATGATGGGTCAACCACGACTGGCGTTGCAGGTAGAATTGCTGCTTTCACTCGGTGAATAAGAAGAAATCCTCCCTTTGTACGCCAATTACGTCAAGCAAGTGATGAGTATGGTGGGTAAAAAAAGATGAAAAGTGGAAGAGAATTTGAATGTGAAGAGGAAAGGCGTATCCATGGCGGATCATGATGCTCCCATAATAGAGGGCAGTCAGTCATTTCGGAAGTGACCCAACTTCAAAGCTTTATTGGCTCTCTAAATTCTTACCCAAAACAACAGCCATTCAATTTCATAGAAAGACATGACACTTTCAACTTAGTCAAAGATGGTGCTAAGATTTTGTGTGTACTCTCTCTCACTCATCGAATCCCTATTTTTATTATCTTTCTATCTAATCTAGTATACTGTAAATGGAATGGTGAAAGGTAACAACATCCTTCATGAGTGTCAAGAGTCCAAGCTTACCACTATTAGACTGACACGACTCTCCACAATGGTATGATATTGTTCACTTTGAGCATAAACTCTCATGACTTTGCTTTGGGCTTCCCAAAAGGCCTCATAACAATGGAGAGTGTATTCTTAGATTATAAATTCATGATCATTCCCTAAATTAGCCGATGTGGGACTTTCATCATCCAACACCTCCTCTCGAACAAAACACGCCTCCCCTTAATCGAGGCTCAACTCCTTTGGAGTCTTAGTCATTTTTTACTGCCTTCGTATCTTTGAGGAGGCTTGACTCCTTTTTTCTTTTTGGAGTCCTTTGTTCGACATTCGAGGATTTGCCAATCTATTAGCACGGCTAAGTTTAGAGCATGGCTCTGATACCATGTTAGAACGAACACGACTCTCCATGAGGCCCCTAATGATCAATATAAATACGAATGAGTCGACTTGATATTTGGGCATTATAACTACAAAGAAGACTTTTCGAATTTTGATTCTTTTGTATCTTCATAGAAAAAATTGAATCATAGCATTACAAAGTTTGAAACTTTTTAGTACACATATTCGTTACGAGCGGTATTTGGGTGTTTCTGTTTGAGCCGTACAAGACGAAGTTCTCATATACGGTTCTCAGAGGGGGGTCCCCTTGGTTTCCCTATCTCAATAAAGTATATGATTGGTTAGAAAAACGTCTTGAAATTCAGGCAATTGCAGATGATATAACTAGAAAATACGCTCCTTCTCACGTCAACATATTTTATTGTCTAGGAGGAATTACGCTTACTTGTTTTTTAGTACAAGTAGCTACGGGGTTTGCTATGACTTTTTACTATCGTCCGACCGTTACTGAGGCTTTTGCTTCTGTTCAATATATAATGACGGAAGCTAACTTTGGTTGGTTAATCCGATCAGTTCATAGATGGTCGGCAAGTATGATGGTCTTAATAATGATCCTGCACGTATTTCGCGTGTATCTTACTAGTGGATTTAAAAAACCTCGTGAATTGACTTGGGGTACAAGTGTGATTCTGGCTGTATTGACCACATCTTTTGGTGTAACTGGTTATTCCTTACCTCGGGACCAAATTGGTTATTGGGCAGTCAAAATTGTAACAGGTGTACCGGAAGCTATTCCAGTAATAGGGTCGCCTTTGGTAGAGTTATTACGCGGAAGTGCTAGTGTGGGACAATCTACCTTGACTCGTTTTTATAGTTTACACACTTTTGTATTACCTCTTCTTACTGCCGTATTTATGTTAATGCACTTCCCAATGATACGTAAGCAAGGCATTTCTGGTCCTTTATAGAGAATCGAAATCATAGATTTGTAATTAGTTATTTATGATTACTCGGGGGAGGAAGAAGAGTATTTCATTGCTGCAAATATGTCTTATTGAAAAATAAGACATGTATTGGGATATTTCCCTTCAACTCCACGAAATTTTATTCGTTATTTTTCAATAATAGTTGAAAGGAATTCTTCGAAGAGAAAATGGATTATGGGAGTGTGTGACTTGAACTATTGATTGGGCCGTGTGGATATGTCTTTTTATCTGTCACATTGGGATTCACAACCAAATGTGTCTTTATTCCAACCACCGCGAAAGCTCCATACAGAGGGTAGGCTGGTTCGCTGGAAGAGAATCTTTTCTATGATCAGACTTGACCATGTCGTGCATGACCAGGCTCCGTAAGATCCAGTAGAATAGGTGATATATCTGGCATAATTCAGATTATGTTTTATCTATTTCACTTACTTAAGATCCAGTAGAATAGGTGATATATCTGGCATAATTCAGATTATGTTTTATCTATTTCACTTACTTAATAGTATGAAAATGCATTCATATATCTGGCATAATTCAGATTATGTTTTATCTATTTCACTTACTTAATAGTATGAAAATGCATTCATATATCTGGCATAATTCAGATTATGTTTTATCTATTTCACTTACTTAATAGTATGAAAATGCATTCATTTCCTCTGCATTGACTCGATTTATGATACTATCGGAGTGAAACAAGGGATCTAAAGAAGAACAAAGGCCATCCCCGCTTAATGAGGCCTTTTGGGAAGCCCAAAACAAAGTCATGAGAGCTTATGCTCAAAGTGGACAATATCATACCATTGTGGAGAGTCGTGTTCGTCTAACAACCACTAGTAGATATCGTCTCCTTCAGCTCGTTACATATCGTCGTTAGTCTCACGATTTTAAAACGCGTTTGTTAGAAAAAGGTATCTACACCCTGATGAGAAATGCTTCATTCTCCTCTCCAACCAATATGGGACCTAACAATCCACCTTGGGAGCCAACGCCCTCGTTATCACACTGTCTGGTGTTTAGCTCTAATACCATTTGTAACAGTTAAAGCCTACTATTAGCAGATATCGTCTCGTTCAGTTCGTTACATATCGTCATCAGCCTCATGGTTTTAAAACATGTATGTCAGAGAAAGGTTTATATACGCTTGTAAGAAATGCTTTGTTATCCTCTCTATTCGATAATGAGACCTAAAATCAACCTTCCTTGGGAGCCAACATGCTCGTTGGCACACCTTCCAGAGTGTCTGACTGTGATACCATTTGTAACCGTCCAAACTTAAAATTGTATCGGCCAATTTAAATCCTATTTGAAAGTTTGAAGATCACATATTAGAGATGCACCATTAGTTTTATATTACTAAAAAAAAGTATATATTCTTTCTATCTTGTGCCTTAGTTGATAGAGATATTTTTTTTGACGTGAGCATTTATTCAGCTTTTTATGATTGCTAGCCTATGTTATTGGATGTTTTAAAAGATATTTGTTTATGTTAACAAATATTCCAATCCAGATAATGAAAAGTGACCAAAGATGAGGAACCAGATGAACTAAGGATTGATAATCTTCTTTACTCGTGGTGAGCTACTATATACGTGCACCTTAAATTAGAGTGTTCTCGTATCATATGAACGCCTCAAGTTCAACCCCACAACGGTTCGTTATGTATTGCCGTTAGCTTCACGGTTTTCACACCCTTATAAGGAATGTTTCATTCCCCTATTTAATCGATGTGAGATTCGTTCCCCTCTTCAACCAATGTGAGATCTTACAATCTACTATCTTTAGGACTCAAAGTCTTCATTGGCTCACAACCCAATGTCTAGTTCTGATATCATTTGTAACGCCCCAAACCTACCGGTAGTAAGTATTGTCCGCTTTAGCCCGTTATGTATCGCTATCAGCCTCACAGTTTTAAAACGTGTATGTTGGAAAGATGTTTTCACACTTTTATAACTAATGTTTCGTTTTCATCTCCAACCGAGATGAGATCTCACATCAAATATCTAGCTCAACCTATTCCTTCATAATATTAACCTATATGTACGTGTTCGGAGTCTCGGTATGGATCAAAATTCAAAAACTAAATTAATAATTTAACTATATATATTATTCAACTTCATGAAGGGTAAATATTTCTCTCAAATAAAAAGTAATAATCTCTCACTCTTTCTCTTTCATCACCTTTTTATTCTTTTCAACACAATTCCCCAAAGAGTGGAAAGGTAAGTTAACACTAAATTAAGAACCCAATTCACACCCAGCTACAACAGTTAGCTTACAGCCTTCGCCAAATGAATATCATCAACTACTTACGATGTGGCAATGCACCGTGGCTCCCAAACCACCGCCGTCCGCCGGACTTCCTTACAACTCCCTTTTGGAGACATCACGAACATTTGCTCTTCTTCATTCACTACTCTGTTCTTGCATATCATAACTTTTCTGTTGCTATTCTTGAACGCCGCCGCCTGCTGCCCGAGCGGGTTCACAGCCGCCGCCCCCGCTTTCGAGCTCGGCTTCGATCTCCAGTAGTACTCGTAGGCATTCAACGACGCTGCGGTAGGCGGGGCGGCGCAGGGGGTTATTGGTTGAGCTGCTGCTGCTGCCGCCTTTGGGCGTGGGGGGAGTGATGGGTTCCTGTTGGCTAAAACTCTCGATTTGCTGTTCATCATTGATGCTAATCTGTGGGATTTTAGTAACCCACTTGGTAATTGTGATGAATTTTCAATCTTTTTCTGTTCTTCTTTGATCTGGATTAAGAATATGAACAAAAGGATTAAACTTTATTGACTGTTTACATAATTGATGCAGCATTTGATCAAGATTAGCTTGCTAATTAAGTGATTTACCTCGTTAATGGGCTTGCGATTAACGAGGGTGAGAACGAGGCGGCCATCTTGACGTTGGGCGGAGAAGGTGCTCTGTGAAGGCACGGACATGGCCTCGAGGACCAACCGGCCGTTGTCACGGCGGGGCTGCATCCGTACTAACTCCCCATCCGGGCCGGAGAGTGTCGGCAACGGTGGAGGAAACGACCGGCGGGGGGGTGATTTTTTATAGCTATACTTCACCGGCTTTCCTTGATCCTCTACTTCAAACTCCTCCTCGTCGGAATCTCCGTTCTCCGATGATGGATACGACGAGAACCCATCAGAGCCGGTTTCCGATCCAAGACTTTCAGTACAAATCTCGAGGCTTTTCTCACTTAAACACTTACCCATTGGCCGGGGAGGAACATAAGGATTAGCATTAAAATCCTTACGAGATTTGATGACAGAGCCCCAAATATCAGCAGAGTCTGTTTTATCCTCTGTTTTATCCTCCTCTGTTTTCTTCTTCTTTTTCTCCCTTTCTTGAATTGAATCCCAGAGACCAAATTCTTGACAAGAAGCGACATTTTTCATTTGGGAAATCCATTTATGGGACGACATGTCAGCAGAGAGTGTTCTTCGGAGAGAAGAAGGTTGGGATTTGGAGCGGTCGGGGTCGGAGGACAGAACAGCGACGATGCCCTGTTTTTTGTCGTCGCAGGAAGCTTGAAAGATCTTCAATGGCGACATGATTTGGTTTTGTCTTGTTGGGTTTTTTGTGAGTGTTTCTAGAAGAGCAACTACAGCAACCGGCAGCGGTCGGAAGAAAGAGACCGCTGAAGCTGCAGAGTTGCAGAGAAGGGAAGCAGGGGAATTGAAGAAGAAGATGATGCAATGAGGTTGCCACGAAAGGGGAAGAGGAAAGTGGGTATTTATAGTCCGCCATGGGAATCGAGAAGAGGGCCCGCATTAACGCCACCATGAATAGACTCTGTCTCCGGCTTTGTCTTTTGCTGCCTCTACAGAGATTATGCATTTTTAATTGGTAACTCAAAAGAATCCGAGTATAGGCTTACAATCCAACTCAACTTTCAAAACTTGAGCCACAACTAAAAATTAAATACTCGATTTTCTTTTAGTGTTGTCATAACTCCATAATAGAACTTAGAGAGAGATTTTAGACTATACAGTACTTTTATTGAGTGTAGAAACAAGTTAAGGATGACGTCACAACTTCGTAAACCTTCTCAGTGAGAGATTTGAGGCTACATGATTAGTTCTCAAGTTGAGTGCTTCTAATAGAGTGTAGGTACTAATCAAGGCTAATGTCGTGATGCCGTAAATTGGTCCTGAACATGGACTAGTGACTACATGGGTAGAAGATTTGTGATAGTCGCCCCTGTTAAATGTAGTAATGACTCTACGCCGGGGACTTTCTAGAGCAACATATTAAGAATTGGATGTGAATGAGAACCTATACGTATGTTGCTTATTGAGTATTTTCATACTCATCTCTTTCTCCTTTTCTTTTCCTAGTACCTGTTGAGAGGGAAGATTAAAAATATTTGACATTTGTTAGTACTCGTAAATGTTTGATATTTTAGGTTTATGAGATTTTAATTCCTAATATAATAGTCAGGCTTACTCGAGGACATCCCTTCTGCCTCAAAAACCACTCCCATTTGGAGAAATTCTAAAAGTCTAAGCAGTCTTAGCTCATCAATTAACTCATCGGTATGCCCCTGACTCTGACTATAGTCCTTACTTACCTCAGGAGATAGCCAGGGGGAAAGGACGGGAGAATAGAAAACAAGACGAATCCAGTAGGCCTGCTATTTGAAAGAGATTCATTCCTCCATTCTCATTCAAAGTCAAGGCCATAAATCTAAATCATACAAAAGAACCGTCACCTCAACCATTGCCTCTTAACTGTCTGATGATAGAGGACGGAAGCCGATCACATGCATAAATAGATTTTTTTTAAATTAATTAAAACAAAAACAATCCAGTCCGAAAATAAAGTGTTGGATTGTGAACTGTATTCAGGTTGCTCGAATCACCAATCCATCTAACTCCAAATTTTAAATCGGTTTGAAAAAATTTTCAAACTTAACCGTAGTCGTGTATACCCCTAGTTAATAAGCAGACTATTATTATTACGGTAACGAAAAAATTAGAATGTAAAATTATTTTGTACCAATTAAATTGTACGGAAAAGGCAAAGAATGCAACAAAAATAAGGTATACGTTGATGTTGTTGGTTGCATCAGATCCAAATTGGGTGATCAGATCTTTGGAATATTTTCATGTTGGAAAGCTTGAGATCTCACTTCTCTATACTTTCTTATTTCTTCAATGATTCTTTTAGGTTTAAATCATTTTGTGTTTATACTTTTATTCTATTACGTGCAAGAGAGGATCATAAACAACGGGTCATAACGCTATATTAGTATTATAGAAATTAGACTCCGCTTACAAAACTGTAACAACCCTTGTTACGCGTCCTCTAAAGAGAGATTTTCATACCCTAATAAGAATAAATACTACGTTTCTCTCTCCAACTGATGTAGATCTCATATTCCAATTCACATCCAATCTTGGTCGATAGAGCTCAAACAAGCCTTAACTTTTGATCGGTCAAGTTCGAATAAGCCCGATGCAAACTAAAACAGGCTTTATTATAGAGTTCTTTGTGAATGAGTAATCGAACTTTTGTATGATTGTGTTTAGCTCCATGACTGATTGATTCGTTGATTGGTCTTAGGCAAGAAAAAGATTTATATGATTGTGTAGTGAACTAGTCTTACGGTTGGAATGTTATATGATTGATTAGATGAATGTTTAATCTGTACGACTTATATATATAAAAAAAATGTCGGGTCTCCATAAACATTAAAGCATCGAGTATAACAAAACATCATTTATAAGGGTGTGAAAACATTCCCTTAACATACATATTTTAAAGCCTCGAGAGGAAGCATAAAGAGAACAATATCTACTAGTGATGTGCTTGGACTGTTACAATGTGTCTAAAATTGATATACTTATGTATGAAACCGATGAGTATAAGCGAGACTTACACATCCCGAACATAAAAGAATCAAAATCCAAATTTAAGATTTTAGGTCCTACCCGAAACGAAAGAAGAAAGAAAAGGGACGTTGAGAGGAGGATTTAAAAGTAAAATAAAAAAGCAAAAAGGGGAAGGACCAATGGAGAGGATGAAAGGCCTCGAATAAAGGTATTCATAGACTATGTACTTTGATCTAAACCATTATTTTATAGTAACAATTTCATTTCTTTAACTTATTATTTATACATTATCTTACGAGCGCGGTTTCAAATACATAAAACATTTTTACGTCATTTTATCTTTTTCTTTTTAATAAAATAAAATTAATAAAAATATTTTTAATAATAAAAAAAATAGTTTTTAACTCAACGTTTTTAATCAACTCAAATTTGGTTCAGCTTAGACATGATACTAATAACTTCTGAGCTCGTGTTTGTATTTTTCGACCACTTCGCACGTTTTCTTAAAAAAAAAATTAAAATACCATTGATATTTTTATTTAATATCAAAACTTTATAATTACAAAAAGAAAAAGAAAGGTGTGATGTCAAAATGTACAAATGTTTTTTTTTTTCTTTTTAGAAATAAAATGTAAAAAAAAAATAATAATAAATTAAAGTTCTCCTTTAGGCGCTTTGTCTAGTGCATTTTACTTTTTAATTTAAATATGTTTGATTCACATTTATTTATTTTTTGTCTTCAGTTTATCTCTTCTTTTACTCGAGTATCATATTTCCATTCGGTTTTACATTCGTTCGTCCCTCAACCACATTTTATAGGGTGAATTACCACTCTGATACCATTATAACACGACCCATGTCCAGGATTCGGATTTGGATTTGAAATTCAGATTCGATACCTAATTGCCCAATATTCCCCTACATTTTTCGCGACATGATCACATTATTTACTCTTTATTTATAAAAGTGAAGACTATTCTCACAAACCAACATAACGTCCTTCTAGCATGGTTTGTGTTCGTTCAATGCATCCTAGACAAATTCTCGGGAGATCACCAACATAAAATTGTTCCAAGCAAAGCAGTTTTACTATAGAGTTCCTATGATTGAGCCATTAAAAAAGGTGCACATTGTCGGTACACATAGTAACTTTTAATTTTTTTTTAAGTGTTCTTAAGATCCAGAAGTGGTCTTAATTCATTCATGTATTTACTGTGATGTCTAATTTCTAGTGGAAAAATAAACCTAACCAAAAAGAAGTTCATAAATCAACCGAGTTTACACAATAAAGTTCTCGCTCAATTCAAACAATTTTCATCAATTCAAATTATAAATTTTTGGAGTTAGGTTAGTTCGAGTTGTTTAAGTTATTTATTCAAATTTTAGTTTTTAATAAAATCAAAATGTTAGGACGAACAAAATTTATTTTATTTTATTAATTATCTTCCCGTTAGAGTGACATAAAAATTTAAATTTAAAAATGAAATTGAAGAATGTAATTTTTTTTTTTTTATAAAATAAAGGGTAAAAAAAGAAGAGAAAATAATTAAAATTTAAACATTAAATAATATTTGTATTAAGAGATAAGACTCAAAAGACAATGGCTCAAGAAGGAAGCAAACCCATCATTTCATTTGTAGAGAGAGAGAGAGAAAGAGACAAAAATTTAAATGAATAAATAAATCAACAAAGAATATTCTAATTCATGTGGAAATAATTAATTAAGCTCCCACGTCCACATTTTTTTTATATTTTTAATTGCCTTTTCTTTTCTTATTTTCTTTTTGTCTTCCATTTTGTGCTTTTCTTTTTATTATTTAAAAATAAAAAGGCATAAAATAGATTGTTGAGGTGGTTAGATAATGCATTATTTTCATCCTCGAATCAATACAAGTTGTAACTACAACTACTTGATACTAATACGCTCCTATCCGTTCGATACTACACGCCTCCACCTAGTTAAGTGGTAGTACATCTCTATGTACGTCATCTTGTCATTCTATTAGATGAACACGACTCTCCATAATCGTAAGATATTGTCCACTTTGAGCGTAAGCTTTCATGGTTTTGCTATGGGCTTCCCTAAAAAGCCTCATACCAATGGAAAGTCGTGTTCATTTAACATGATATCAGAGTCATGTCCTAAACTTAGTCATGTCAATAGAATCTTCAAATGTCGAACAAATGACTTCAAAAAGAAAAGGAGTCGAGGCTCCTCGAAGGTATAGTAAAAAGTGACTAAGACTCCAAAAGAAAAGGAGTCGAGCCTCGATTAAGGGAAGACGTACTTTGTTCGAGGGGAGGTGTTGGATGAAAGTCTCACATCGAGTGATTTAGGGAATGATCATGGGTTTATAATCAAGAAATGGTATCTCCATTGGTATGAGGTCTTTTGGGGAAGCCCAAAACAAAGCCATGATAACTTATGCTCGAAGTGGACAATATCCATAACATTGTGGAGAGTCGTGTTCATCTAACAGCTTCTACTAGATTATGTCAAGTTGAATGTCTGAGTTTAATTTGTTTGATAATTGACATTTGAATCTCGAATGGGCACCAACATAATAAGGTTTTCATCTACTAAACGAGCCCTTTTTGGTTTGCATCATGATGTCATCTTGAACGTTCACACAGTTAAATGACGCCTCCTACCATATTTAACATGCATGAAACGTGATTTATTCCAAAAGATCGCAATGAGACTCGTCGTGTAGATACAATTTCCTTTTTGTAAAGATTCGTTGTTCTACTTTCCTTCTCTAACAGAAAACTCGACACTTTCCTTCTGAGACATTCTTCTCTTCAGTGTATCGAGCCTCAACGTGCTACCTAATGCAATCACCTACTAAGACCACTAGATT